ATTCTATTCTATTCTATTCTATTCTATTCTATTCTATTCTACTCCTATTCTATTCTATTCTATTCTATTCTATTCTATTCTATTCTATTCTATTCTACTCTACTCCTGTTCTATTCTATTCTATTCTATTCTATTCTATTCTATTCTATTCTATTCTACTCTACTCTACTCTACTCTACTCCTGTTCTGTTCTATTCTATTTTATTCTACTCTACTCTACTCCTGTTCTGTTCTATTCTATTTTATTCTACTCTACTCTACTCTACTCTACTCTACTCTACTCCTGTTCTGTTCTGTTCTATTCTATTCCATTCTACTCTACTCTACTCTACTCTACTCTACTCTACTCTACTCTACTCTACTCTACTCCTGTTCTATTCTATTCTATTCTATTCTATTCTATTCTATTCTATTCTATTCTATTCTATTCTATTCTATTCTATTCTATTCTATTCTAAATATACCCAAAATAGCCTCACTCCTGGCCTGCCCAATGCACACTGAAATAAAATCCCCTCTTCTATTGGTGAATTCATGAGCCTCCATCAGGAAAACACCGAAGAACGATGGTATATGTGTCAGGATTGTAAGAAGAAATCCACTTTGCTTTGAAAACATGGAGATAATGCTAGTGCTTGCAAACTGATTTGTGTTCATCTCTTTTAAGTCTACTTTCCCTTTAGGGAAACTGAAGATGGCTCTCTTTACATCCTCTCTCCCATCCTGAGGGATAAATTAGGCTAGGTGAATGTGCTTGGTCTCAGATAACCCAGTGAGCTTCCTAGCCGTGGAGAAAGAGGGAACCTGGACTTCCTTGCCTGTCTCTGTATCCCATTTATTTTTCTCTAGAACGAGCAATAGATATATCTGAGCGTGACATACAAAATTGCAAACCTGACCAAATTCAGGCATTTGGAAGGCAAATCTGCTCAAGTGCCTACTCTTTTGACTTCAAAAGCGTTGCCCATTGGCTCACCTGTTAAACCACCAGCCACATTTGTTCTCTTCTGCGCAGTTGCCCGTTAGGAACCTGTCATGGTCCCGGTCAGGAGCAGAGAAGGGCATGCCGTTGAGTGATCCAGACCACTGGCTCTCAAAGCTGCTCCCCCCAGACAAAGCATTCCCAGCAGTCCCAGAATAAATGCCAAACCACAGCCTGTAATTGTTCTGAAGGGAAGCCACAGAAACTCATGTTACTAAGTTTCAGGATTAAGGAGCGAGTCGTATGTCACAGACTGCTGCCACCACAAAATATCACAAAACCTCAGAGCCTAATCACATGGAAGCCAGCTCGGTTTAGTCTTGATTAGCGCCCAGTTAAAGCTTTTCATGGATTAGGCAGAGATCAGAGCATTCCATAATTCCCACCCAACCATGGCACTGATTAAATACAGAGCCCCTGCTAGCGGTGTTTAACGGCCCGCAGATGAAGACAGCCTGCAGACATTCCCCCGCCTATAGCCTCCGACCACCTCTCCCAAGCACCACCCACGTTCTTTTGACCTTCTCAGCCTTTGGAAACATAGCTGTCTAAATGCCAAACCCTTATTTGACATTTCTGAATTTGAAAGGAGGAAGGGATGGCAGACGGTAATTATGGAGGGAAAGGGAGCCATTTCCCTGGTGGAAGCAGAACGCTTCTCTGAGAGTTTCCAAATTGTGACAGGATTTTGCCTCTCTTCCGGGAATCCTAGCGGGGGTCTTCAGAATCATTGTTACAATTTTCTGGACTTCTATTCTAGAACCTCTTTGAAATTGTCACCAAAAAAGACCTTCCCCCACCCACCCCATGATTTTCAGCTCATATTGAGTGGAGATTGCTTCGTTATTATTATTTTTTGTATAGGTCTTTGGTCATATATTTCATTTACAATATTAGCTAATGGGGATCCTGATGAGATAAGTGTTCTATTGTCTGCCAGCTCTCATATGACAGGTCTATGGGACCAATTATTCATCCGCAAAGGTCAGACTATACTCACTGTCTCATTCTTGATCTGGAAATCATCATAAATTGCATATCGCCTCTCTCCTTGCCAGTCCATTAGATCAATTTTCAGTGAAATTCCTCCTAAAATATTTTTTAAAAAAAAACTTTGGCTAATAAGGGGCATAGTGAACCATTCACTGCAATTTTCGCAAGAGTGCGCAATCTTTCACTTAAGGGACCACATTTTTTTAAATATTATTTTTGGTGGATTAGAACCATAGGGCAGGGATGGTATTAAGGTGTCGTGTAAACCGACAAGACTTTTTTTTTATTGAGTGGTTGATGATAAACGTTTAAAGTGTGTAAAGCAGGCTTTGTTCCAGTGGTGGGATTCAATTTTTTTTACTACTGGTTCTACGGGCGTAGCGTGGCTTGGTGGGCGTAGCAGGGGAAGGATACTGTAAAATCTCCATTCCCTCCCCACCCCACTAACCTGCTTTCCAGCTCCGTTCTCCTGCTCTTCCCTTGATTTCAACACAGAACGGGCCTATCCTACCTTGCATATAACATTATTTTAAATATTTGTAGTATACAGTGTTATTTTATCCAACCATAATCTATTTTGCAAACTGAACATGCCTCTTTTTTTACAAGCGAAATATTTATAATGCTTGGTTTCTAGACCCACTGACATCCTGGTAGCTTTCATGCGTAATGCAATCTGAGATCCCACTGGCCTTTTTAACTGCTGCATTTTTAGGCAGAGAAGGATAAATTGCACCCCTAAGAAGATATTAATAGTCTTCTTTAATAACAGAAAGTAGACCTGTTCTGGCCACTTTAATCATAAATAAGATTATCTGGAATCACAAAAAAACAAGCATGGGCATTGGATTTTGAATAAAGCTTTGGAGTCATATAATAAACATCCCTCCTCTCTTCCCATGTATACCCCATATCAGGTCAAGTCTTGGAAATACACTATACTCCTGTTCTCAACATCTCCACACCAAAATATGTCTAGATTCTCACACTGCCTGTCCTTGATATTTGCCAACGCTGTGTCCTCGCTATTTTGTGGGGAGGCAAGAAGAAGCTATAGGGCCAAACGTATTTCTACTACTATACTTAATTTATCCTTAATAGGCTCTTCCAGAATTTATCATAAGAGAAATAAAGATCTTAAAGGCTGCATTCACAAATGGACTGATACAAAACATTAATTTATCTGTGTTTAAATTAATGGGTGGGTATCCTTACCATTGAAAAGGAGATCATAAATCTTATCATTACCAAGCCAATATTCATCATCCTTGCCCTGTAATTGCCCAAAACCTTCTTTGTAATCGAGCCATTCTCTGCAACAAAGAGATGTACACATATTAGCCTCAGGAGACACCTTGGTGCTAAGTAATATGTGATTATAATATTTTAATGATTATTATTTTTACATCACATCTATCTGTCATGATAGAATTCAAGACAGTGTACATGAGATTTTTTTAGGAATATTATGTACGATTTGCTGTAAAAATGCCAGTTACCATATATATTCAGGCCGTTCCCTCTAATTACCAGCCAATTGCCTGCAAGCCTCCAATTGTGTTTGTTTTTAATTTTTTGTTTGATTAATTAATTAATTAATATCTCAGCTGTATTATTTTTACAAATAACTCAGGATGGTGAACATAACCGAGACACGTTCCTCTGCCTCTTTCTCCATAACAACAACCCTGTAAGGTGAGTGGGGCTGAGAGGGAGTGACTGGCCTAGCTGGCTTTCATGGCTAAAGCGGAACTAGAACTCACGGTCCCCTGCTTTCTAGCCTGGTGCCTTAATAACTAGGCCAAACTGGCTCTCAAGTACAAGTCTCAAATACGAGTGGATTGTTATATTTCCCCCCTCTTATATGGCAACAGATAGTCAGACATAGAAGTTCAAGAAAAATCCATATTTTCGGTTAACAGGAGGTGGAACAAAGGTCATTTCCCTCTGGTTCACTTTTTCCTTTCTTTTCATATTTACTGTGTGAAACACTATAAAAGAGCTTTGCATTTGGGCCTGCCTGACTTCATACTGTTGGCTGGGCTTAGTAGCCAAGTCAAATTATTTTTGGTCCAGCTCCAATGTATTTGAAATCATAGTAAAAGTGGACATTCTTTGTGTTGTTACAGCCCTGTAGAGATTAGGGAGTGAGCTGCTTTCCTATCTTTTGCATCACCCTGCCTCTTTTTCATGGGTGCTTTTCCATATACTGAGGAAAGACAGCTTATCAGCTCTCCTCAAAGCAATGCTTCATGCTTGAAGACTGGCAGAAACTAAGATGGCTGAAGATATTTACACATCGCCGTCATTTCTATTTTCCAGTTCCCCACCCAAAAAAAAGTTTGGATCTAATTTTAATCATCATTTCCTTGATCCTTAACTGTGGAGATAACATACAGTAGAGAGAACACCAGTTGTGGTATTCTACGGGTTCGTCCCAGTTCTGGGGCACTGGTAGCGCCGAAGATCAGCTGGCAGAGAATCGGTTCAGTTTGCTCCGAGTCTCTCCGACGGTCTGCGGTTGGGCCTGCCCGCCCGCCCCTGCTCCTAGGTCCTTTTTAACCTCTCAGCTGTTTGGCATGGCAGAGCGGATTGCTGTGCTAAACAGCTGAGAGGCGCAGTAGCTTAGATTTTACTGTTTTAACGCGTGCACAAAACTTGTGTTCGGCACACGCGCATGATTGCGCAAGTCACACGATCCCACCCCTGCGGCCACGCCCACCAACCCACTCCCACAGAACCGGTGGTGGGAACTTTTGAACCCCACCACTGACCATGAGTCCAAAAATGTTGTCCATTGTCCTCCCTCCTGAATTCCTGTACTGCAGAGATATAGGAACAACAAAATTATTCTTTCTGTGCTTCATATTCAGTGAAATAAAATCCATTTCTGGGACCTCCCTCCCCTTCCACATTTCTACTTTACAATGTTTGCATTTGTTTGTGCCTTGCTGGGAAAAAACAATCTAAACAACTTCTTTGAGAAAAAAAAAAATATTTCTGATTGTATAGCTGCTTTCTTCATTTAAAACCTCCTTGAATATTGTGAAAGTAAAGAATGCCATTTCTTGTAACCAGATACATAGCTAAAAAGCCCTAACCACAGATGTATGCTCCTACAGAAGCTGAAATAGAGGAAAGTGGGAGGGACAGTACGTACAGTATATTGCAACCATTATGATACAGATAGAGAGACACAACACCAAAACTCAGAGCTTAGGAGCTAAAACAGTAATTTTTTCCCCATAGGAAAACAGTTGGTCCACAAATCCTACAGAACTACCATGTTGCAAAAGAAAATATCAGCTTTGCCAGGTTTTCAGATAAATCTGCAACTATACAGCAACACAATTTAGCTATTGAATTCCATAATCCTGGAGAAAAATTGAGAACAAGACTTAATTCTAGCTGGGAGACATGTATTCTTGCATTTCATTTTGAAATATATTTTTCTAAATGTGTGTGTGTGCGTGCGTGTGTGTGTGTGTGTTTCATAGCAAGCAATGTCTGCAAATGTTATGCACATCTTTGTCTTTGTGGGGGCATTTCTTAATTTGGGATGACACATAAAGAAACCGTAAAGTCTTTCCAGGTGAGCTATTAACTACGCTCAAAAACTTACCGGTAGAAATTTTCTTTGCCATTGCACCGCCGTTGAATTACCGTCCACCCGCCTCCATCTGACATATCACAGTACACAAGAAAAGGTTCTCTGTCCTGTTGTGGTTTAATTCTATAGTACCCACTTTCTCTTTTTCCTCTGTTAAACAGCATTGCACAATCTAAACAAAGCATCAAAACAAAACAACAATAGCTCCAAATGATCAAACTACATCCAGCAATCCTGCACAGAACAGAAAAGTATCATTTTTTTTTTTTTGGTACTCCTTTATTGTCCCAAATTCATAGGCTATTACTATAGATCTAAATTGTGGATGCATTTATTTAATATCCCATTTTCTCTGGAAGAGCTGAAGATGGTATGTAATGACTCCCTCCTCCCATTTTATTGATTTATTTATCAAATACATATACTGCCCTTTTCACTTTCTGAGTGGGCGATTTACAAATGAAAGCCATAAAACCACATAAAAAGACAGCATTAGAGAAGAAGAATTAAAAACAGAATTGAAAGTCTAAAAAGGCAGAGAAAGGGCCCTCAAACCATCGCCCACCCCAGGGTTCCCCATGCCAACTGGCAGAGCTAGGTCTCTAGGCTTTTCTGAGGGCCAGAAAAGTGGGAGACTCGCCTTATCTCAGGGTGTAGAGCAGGGGTGTCCAACCTTGGCAACTTTAAGACTTGTGGACTTCAACTCCCAGAATTCCTCAGCCAGCAAAGCTGGCTGAGG